ATTCACTATGTGATCGTAGAAGGAACTGGTATGGTCACGTTACTTATCATCACTTATTAAGAAAATATAGGATTTTCTGGAGGAACACGCGAACATTTTCAAGGAACAAAGAACTTATTCTCTAAAACAAAATGCTTATGAACTCACCAACTTAAATGTTGATACACTTTCAAAATCACTTGTATTATCAGGAAACTAGTAGGCAAGCACACGCTCAGGTTTCAAGAAGATGGAGCATAGTAGCTTCAAGTCTTTGTTTTTGCTATATACTTTTGGAGTCAATCAAACTGTGATTTGAATACAATGTAAAATCTATATTATTAATACACTGGTTGTTGTTGCTTGATTTACTATTATACAATTGTTGTGATACTGTACATGACGTCATCCGCCCCTGAACGTTTCCGCCGTCTCGGTTTGGGGGTGTGAAAAATACATAAATATTGTATACTCTCGTAATATATATATATATATATATATATATATATATATATATATATATAGAGAGAGAGAGAGAGAGAGAGGTTCAAGTATTCTAAGTAATTATTGTGTGGATGAATGGACCAATGAGAATTTAGCAATAATTTAATCATTAATTAAATTAATAAGGGTAAATTAGTAATATTACATATATGTATTAATTAATATCCAAAATTAACAACTCATATCATTTTATTTAAGGGATCAATTTTTATTTGCTTATTAAAACCTTACACTACCGTTTTCTCCAAAAACGCACTACAATCTCATATACCAAATCCTTGATTTCGTTTCCACCAATACCATCAGACGTAGTCACCGACGACACCATCCTCCGTCCTCATAGCCACCGCCACCGAATTATTATTCCCCCATAGCCACCGACCAACAACACGCAAACATCAACAACAAACTAGTCGGGATCTACATTTTAACATTAGAAATCAAAGTCTAAGTCCTCTCACCACGAATCCTACGAGCAAGCTGCATATCCTTAGGCATGATGGTGACCCTTTTAGCATGAATCGCGCACAGATTTGTGTCTTGAAATCTTTAGTGATTTCCCTCACAAGTCTCTGAAACGGAAGTTTCCTGATCAAAACCTCAGTGCTCTTCTGATACTTCCTGATCTCTCTCATTGCGAGTGTTCCAGGTGAGTTATTTTTTCTTTTCCCTTTAATGCGTCTCAATTGTTTATTGGTTTATCCCAATTCTAATATATGTGATACAAGTTTATTTGAGTTTTCTTGTGTGCACAAAAGGACTACTATGTATTTACTGTCAAAAGATCTTTGATTGGGTGTCACGAGTAATGCACCCACACCTCCCTTTTGATTTACACATGTACCATTCTTATGATTTGCACATGTAACATTCTTAAATTTTTGTGTACGAGATTATTAAATGATAGAATCTAATTGGGAAAATCTATAATGTCAAATGATATTGATAATCATTGATTTTTTTTGTTTGACTAATTGTAAGTAATATATTTTAATGACCTTGCATCATGAGCAACTAAGGTGATTGGAAGCATCTGGAGCAAAGAGGTATGCATTGATTATGATTTGGAATTAAGCGTTTTGCTATTACAAAGAGAATTATGGTTAAAAAAATTCCGAATTTGATGAATATCGATTATGTGACATATATTGGTGGCTAGTTGTATGACAATATGTTCAACTTGTACTTTGATTCATTCATTATCTTACCCAACAAATATAATGTTACATGTTGTCATTGTTGCTGTTAATCTCTTGTTAAGAATCTTCATAACCATTCCGAGAGAATATTTCCAGAATCATTCTTGCAGAATATTTACAAAATCAATCATTTTTGCAGGATATTACAGAATGCATAATGCTTAAAGAACATACAATCACATACAAGAGATCGTGAAGCCTCAACGAACATAATTCTCACAGAATGTTTGTTATTATTCAAGAATGTTTTTTTTTGTATCACAATAATACAATGTAATTATTTGATGTATTATTAGTTCAAGAATCAATTTTTGTTATTCTTCAAAAAAAACTCATTAAATCAAAATATATATTCTGTCAGAATGTGTATTCTTTTATGGTTCAAGCATATTAGTTATTTTTCAATATATTGATAAACATATTCTGTCAGAATATCTGAGAATTATCATCCATACAATCAGATTTTTAAAATTAATAGAATCTATTATCCCTTAAAATATGCAACTTTTCTTTTTTAAATTTATGTTAAGTGACTAAAATACCCTTAGAATGAAATTAGATGATATTTTCTAATTATCTTTAATTTAATAATATGTATTATTCACTTTCTCAAAACAAGTAAAATGATTGGTCCACAATCATTGCTACATCCACACAAAAATTAGTTAGAATACAATAATCTAAGCATATATATATATATATATATATATATATATATATATATATATATATATATATATATGGGCCAATCAAAATTAAATAAATGTGGGCCAATCAAAATTAAATAATTAAATAAATAAATAAGGGTAATTTAGTAATATGATTAATAACTTCCAAAAATAATCTCTATAATCATGGTATTGACTTTTAACCTAATTTCTCCAGGTTTATATCTAGAGTCGTTCCCCTCTTTATCTAAAAACCAAATCTTGGCCGATCTGCAAAATTGGAATAGACAAAATCGATCTTGAGTTCTACAAAAATCGATTGCCATCGCCATCAACAATTACTCATCGACGTCATCTGCCTGCCATGTCTACTCCGTCGCTCGTCGCTCCCTTCCGACGTCCACACCTTCGACCGATCCCATCAGGTGAAATTGAAGTTTATTCGAGTTTTACCGGTTGCCATCGTAACCCAAATCCTAACAATCTAGGGTTCATCAAGTTTTGTCGATTTTTGCTTGGCTTGATACATACGAACACAGGCTTGCTTTTGAGGTAATATTTTTCTTCTTAATAATAAAATAGGTAATTAATCCTATCTATTAGATTTAGTGTTGATTTATTCCCTGTATCTTGCAAAACTTTTTTGTTATCGACATTTTTTTTTACTTTCATTAGATCTAGAAGCTTTTATTGTAATCTATATGCCAATTCTAAGCTGTTTATGGATTTTTTGGCTTGTGGCTATTGGAGGATATCGTCTATTTTGAGATTTAAAGTTCAAAATTCAACCATATTTTTAAAACTGAGATATATTATTGAATCGCATGTTATATCTATTTGACTTTCATAGTAAGTTTTCTTTTTATTTGTATTAACTTGATTGTTTTTTATATAAAACAATGATGACAAAAAACTTGTTTCCTGGAGCATATATGTTGTGTGGAGATTTGATGAGTTTTTTTATTTTAATATTCATTATATGATGGTTTTCAATTTCATGGATGGTTGGTCATCTGTAAGAGGCGTCCAAGTTGTCATAAATTTTACTCCTCCTTTCTGTGTATGATTCATATATTTGTCCATCAACTTATGAAACTACTTTCTAGTAATCCCTTAGTGGTTTGTGTATTTTATACAATTCCAATTCTATCGGAATGAAATCACGAATTCAAATTCTATCGGAATGGAAACACGAATTCTAATTCTGTTGGAATGGAATATGGATATTTTCTCATTGATTATACATGTTCTACAATTTTTGGTTATTGGTTTTGGTGCAGTTAACAAGTCTGCATATTTTTCCAAAGGAATATAGTTTTTTATTTATCATTTGCTAATGTGTTATTGGATTCTAAACTACAATTGGATTTGTTTTACAGAAGTTGATGCTTGAAGAAGTTGATGCTTGAAGAACGGACAACAAAATTGAAAGTGTTTCTTAGCAACATTATTCTTTTACAATGAATTAGTGTATTTGTTAGATTTTGATGTTTTTTTCCCAATTTGAAAGTTTTTTAGTTTTATTTTTAACAATAAATGTAATTTTTAGCAATTGTTACATGTATTCTATAAGAATTAATATAATTTTTGTTTTAAATCTTCAATTGATGGTACGAGAATTTTGTTATTCTACAAGAAATTTTTTAAAGTCATGATCAATAAATATGTTCAAGAATATTTTTATTATTTTATGGTTCAAGAATATTTTTATTTTTGAACATATTCAAACATATTCTGTCAGAATGTCCGAATTAAAACCTTATAATTCGTAAAATCAGATTTTTTAAAATTAACAGAATCTATGATCCATTAAAATATGCAAATTTTCTTTATTAAATCTATATTAATTGACTAAAATACCCTTCTAGTTAAATTAGATGGTATTTTTCAATTATATTTAATTCATTAATATGTATTAATCACTTTCTTAAAATAAGTAAAATGATTGGCCCACAATCATTCATATATTCAGACAATAATTAGTTAGAATATAATACCCTAAACGTGTATATATATATATATATATATATATATATATATATATATATATATATATATATATATATATATATATATAGGGAGATGATCAAATGAGAACACCTAAAAGGTTGAGAACGCGAGAACAATTGTAGACCAATCATTCCATAGGGGCGTAAAAGAAATTTTACAATATAATTAAATATGGATAATTAATTACTTCCTACAATCATGGGATGTTGTCTAACTGATTGATATTTTACCCAGATATCAGAAATGAATTTAATCTATTTTTAATCAAATAGATTACGAAAAAAAAAACTTTTTACCATGATTAAAAAACGTTTTTTTTTTAATTTTTTTTTACCGCTATATCAAAAAGATTGATTTTACCATGATTAAAAAACGTTTTGTTTTTTTTTTAAAAATTACAAGTACTTCAAAAAGATTGATGAATTAATCATTTCAACCGAATATTTGTAATCATACAAAAATAAAACATATTTGTAATCAAATATGAATCCGTTGTAATCGTAAATGAATAGATGAATTAAGTTATAATGATAAGAATTAACATTAAATTAACCAAATGTGTGCCATGATAGACATAAATATTGTTCATGATTAAAAAAAAAGTCTAATATAATCATAATCATAAATAAATAAACCTTAATGTAGACAGTGCAATTGTAATTATAAATGAAAAGTACAATGGTAAAATAGAAAAAAATATCGTTATAACATCTGGAGATGACCATCTAAACCAGTGTCATGTTACAATCAAAAACACAGCAACGATTTTCACGGTCCCTTTTTTTTCGCGTCCAAGCTTTTGACATAAAATGTATTGCTCTTGCGTTCAATCTTTTGACTTGAAACAGATTGCCTTTATATGAACTTGAGCTCTTTTGTTGTTACGAAACCTACAAAAATTAAAACATAAATGCAAGTTAGAATAGCAAATATATAAACTCAATACTTGTAATCATGTATGATTAAGCATAAGAAATAAATTTAATACTTCTAATCATGAATGATTAATCATAATAAATAAATTCAATACATATAGTCATAAATGATTAAGCATTTCGGAAATCATTATGAGAAATTCATAATCACCATAGAAACAAAAAAACAAGATATCTAAGAATTTTAGAAAATTAATCGCTAATAATTTCATCATCTTTCCTCTCTTAATATTTATAAGATATTAATTAGATCATCATATAATCTTGGTCATTATAATTATTTCAATAGCTGTAACCTATATAGATTTTTCTAAATTGCAGTAGTCCAACTTTTTTTAAATATATACAATATGAAATCATTTAAGAACGTAATGCTAGCATTCCAACATTTATCACTATAATTATTTTTTATTCAACAATGTCTAATCACTAATTCTTTCTTTTGTTCTAATATTATAGGCAATAAAGGAAAAATGGAAGTTTACCTCATTGGAAGGAGAATCATGCAACCACAAACCATATTTCCTTCTTACTCTTTTTATCTTCCTTTGACTTTAACTTGTCGATCATCTAGCAACCACTCTAAGAGGTTCACATGTCTGAACATCATACGCACCTCAAGTATTCTCAAGAAAAATAGAGACCCATCCAATCTTGAATAAAATCGAGTTTGTAGGTCCAAAGAAAACTGTTGAACGAGGATTGAGTTACACGAGATCGACTTCCAGATCTTGAAATTGAGTTGTAAGTTTTGTTGGAAACATCAATGAAAATCTTGTAAAAAAAGGGTGAGAAATATCAAAGAGATTCATTGCTTTAATCACGGTGATAGCCCGTCATCGACTGTGTATGAAATCAGCAAAGAAAAGATTTTACATAACTATGAAATCAGTTTCTAGAAAAGAAATTAACAAAGACATCACATTCAAATAATGGCAAAGGAATCGAAACATACCTGAGTCGCCGCTGCCTTGCTGCGCGGGAGTAGAGGCGAATTTGCATCAGTGAGTAGAAATCAATGAGATCATCAACGAACTAGCGAACAGGGGAACCGATTACCTGAGTCGTCGCTGCCTTGTTACGTCGGAGTGAAGGCGAGGTTGCGCCGGTGAGTAGAAATCAATGGGACCACCCACGAAGTGGCGAGCAGGGGAACCGATCTTCGGAGGCGTATACAAGACGAGTGGAGTCGACTGTGAAATGTGAGAAGAAGGTTTTTAAGAAGGAGGCGACATTGTTATTAAACCCTAAATAGGGGGGAATATAAAAACGAGAAATGAAAGCAAAGAGGTGAGAGAGTGATAAATTATAGGAAATAAGTAAAGTTGCAATTTCTATTATGCCTTTCTGACCATTTAAATGTTACACTTTAATGCCAACAATTTTAGAATTTTTCATAAATCACCCTTTTAATAATAACCTTAGATTTAAATATTTAAATGATCCAGATCTGTTCTCGCGTTCTCAACCTTTTAGGTGTTCTCATTTGATCCTACTCCTATATATATATATATATATATATATATATATATATATATATATATATATATATATATATATATATATCTATATATCGGATGGAATGCATGTATACCCGAACGGGGTTTATTTTCAATATCTATCAGTTGGGACGGGACCGTGTTTTTGGCTCCTTGTTAGGACGGGGCCGTGTTTCTAGCTCCTCCATGCCGTTGAAGATAGTCAATTCAGACTCCCAACGGTGTTATCTGACCCATACCCAATAACTTAGCGTACTTCATCACTTAAAATCTGATATTTAAACCATGCTCTTTTGTTATTTTCATTGCATATCTTGTTTTTGTTGAATGCCCTTTCAAAACATAAACACCTTTTTACAAAGCCTATATAAAAAAAATACTAAAGTTTTAGGCTAGCTTTTGTTTTTTGTTCATGTAATTAACGTTTGTGTTAATAGTTTTCGGTTGCAAACGTAAACTTACCAAACTAGTATATTATTTAGATTGTTGTATTAGTTGATCGATCATATTAAAAAATAAAAATACACTAACTAAAAATAGAGATTTGACGATAAGACTGGATTATTCAGATTATTGTAGTATTTTTCAGTATTTGCTAAGAAGGGGCTGGAGTTTTCGTCATTTTTCAGTAGACAATCTGGCAAAAAGCTGAGAGACGGTGTAGTAATTAAGACTAAAGAATTGGAATGTGTGAAGTCATCAGAGCCGTTGAAACAGTGACGTTGACTTTGTAGACGAGCACTGGCCTATTTTTCCATATGCGGGACCCACAATCCAACAACCATCCACATTTTTGTTTTTTAATTCATCCTAAACTAAAGATAGTATATTGTGTGTAACGTATAATCAGAAAATGTATGTAAAATTAAGTTTATAGTTGATTTTAATTAAAGTTTATAATTTTAAAATGCGTATTTAAATTAAGTTTATAGTAAGCTAAATGTGTTTGTATTAAATTATAGATTTATATTTTAGAAATTTAAACATTGATTTTAGAATATATCTACTTAAATTAATTTGAAATGAAGTATATTTTAACGCATAGTTTGGCATCTAATAAGTTAGTTGTATAAAGTTGCAAAAACATTGAAGTGATTTATATATGGTTTACAAGCCGGTTTATAATTGTTTTAGGTTGTGTGTGATTGACATCTAATAAGTTATATTTTTAGTTAATAAAATTGCAGAAAATTGAAGTGATTTATATTTGGTTAATTTATGAATTAAATCTTATATTAATTAAGGTTTTTCATTTGAGACATGACTGATAATTTAATTTAAAAAAGAAAAAACATCATAAATGGTCCCTGTGGTTACCCAAAATCTGAAGTTTAGTCTCCGTGGTTTAAAAACCTCATAGATGGTCCCTGTGTTTTCAAAACTTTTGATGTTTGGTCCTTTTTGCTAACTCCGTTAACTTTGTCCGTTAACTGAAGGGTATTTTCGTCATTTCACAACCACAGGGACCATTTATGATGTTTTCTCGTATTTTTAAAAAAAAGAAAAAATTAAACATAATTAAATATATAAAAGGTCTCTCTCTCTCTCTCTCTCTCTCTCTCTCTCTCTCTCTCGTTGACATCGATTCCTCCCCTCTTCTTCCTTGGTACCCTGGTAACCCTCGTCCCCCTTTGATAAGATTCTTGAACCAGGTTTCATTCTTCCAAGATTCATTCATTCTTCATCAAATTTCTATCCTTTTGTCGGTGTTATCTGACCTGGGGTTTTTCTGTTTTGCCTCGTTTTGTCGGTGTTATCCCAAAAACAAACCATAAAAATCCCAAAAAATCAAATTGATGCCCTGTAAAGTAGGAAGAACAACGATCATCATCATCTGGTCCATCTGAATCGATGTCACCATGATGCCGATGAATAAGAGCGAAAGAAGATGGAGGAATCGATTGCACCTCTTTAATATGCCTCTCTCTGAAAACGAAATCGAAGCTGACACCCACATCCCATACCTTATATCCACTTCTCCCATTTCGCCATGATGTCATCGATTTCCCCTATTATAGGCTTGATCTATAGTTTTCTAGTTTCTTGTGTTGTTTCTATTGTCTGAGGGTTTAGATCGGAGGATTTTCCAAATTCGATGAATGGTGGGTTTTCCGATCTAGTTGTAGGTTTGAGGCAACAGTCTCCTATGGTGATGGCGGTTTGAGTTGCATGTTTCAGAACAAGAACAAAGGAAGGAGAGGTGGAGTATATGGTGTTTTTGCGCTTCAGAACATATTAGATGAATGATGGGTTTTTCGATCTGGTGTTAGTGATTAGAAGGCATCATGGGGATGGAGAGTTATAAAGATCTCCCTGGTTCTTGAGGTCAACGAGAGAGAGAGAGAGAGAGAGAGAGAGAGAGACCTTTTATATATTTAATTATGTTTAATTTTTTCTTTTTTAAAAAAATACGAGAAAACATCATAAATGGTCCCTGTGGTTGTGAAATGACGAAAATACCCTTCAGTTAACGGACAAACTTAACCCCAGTTAGCAAAAAGGACCAAACATCAAAAGTTTTGAAAAACACAGGGACCATCTATGATGTTTTTAAACCACGGGGACTAAACTTCAGATTTTGGGTAACTACAGGGACCATTTATGATGTTTTTTCTTTAAAAAACAATAATATATATATATATATATATATATATATATATATATATATATATTGTTATGAATTAAGCGTAATTAATGTAACTATAAATCAAACCAAACTAGTAAACTTTGATAAGAACTTTAATTGAGAAGAAAGAATATTTAGAGAGAATATGAAAGTTATATCTCTTATAACTTTTTGGTGTCTTTCATTCTTTACAATGGAGGGGTATTTATACTACAAATTTTACTAACATATAATTGTAACTAGTTAGAAATGTTGACAAATTTGCCATGCACCAATTATTATGTCATCCACCAATTATTTACAACACCACCAAATTATTTACAACACTCCCCCTTGGATGACATCATTTTAGCATTCAACTTTGACGTACTGCCTCATTAAAAACCTTGCTAAAGAAAACCCAGTGGGAAAAAAACTTTAGCGAAGGGAAAAAGAGTGCAGTGTATAGTTGACTCCCCCTTATTTAGACATTCATCACATTATATTCTATGCACATGTCGCATTCCGATGTCATGGACATGTTTCCTGAAGATTGCAGTAGGAAGTGCCTTCGTAAAAAGGTCTGATGCATTGTTACTGGATTGAACATATTTGATTTCAACTTGATGGTTTTTTATAAGCTCTTGAGTGTACTCAAAAAACTTTGGAGGTATATGTTTTGTCCTGTCGCTTTTGATATATCCCTCTTTCATTTTAGTGACACATGCTGAGTTATCTTCATAAATTAAAGTTGGACATATATCCTTTTCAAGTCCACATGAAGTTAAAACTAGTTGTATCATCGATCTTAACCATGTACATTCTCTACTAGCTTCATTTAGTGCAATTACTTCAGCATGATTTGAGGATGTGGCAACAAGTGTTTGCTTTTGAGAACGCCAGGAAATTGCAGTACCTCCATTCATGAATACATATCCAGTTTGAGATCTAGCTTTATGAGGATCAGACAAATAACCTGCATCTACATAACCAATCAGGCCTTGTTTTGAATTGTTAGGGTAAAATAACCCTAAATCACTAGTTCCTCGAAGGTATCGAAAAATATGTTTGATTCCATTCCAATGTCTTTTTGTTGGGGCTGAACTAAATCTTGCTAGCAAGTTTACAGCAAAAGAAATGTCAGGTCTAGTACAATTGGTAAGATACATAAGAGCTCCAATTGCATTTAGAAACGGTACTTCTGAACCAATGACTTCTTCATTTTCTTCGCATGGACGAAATGGATCCTTGTGAATATTGATGCACAAGTATTCCGTTAGGCATATGCTCAATCTGTAAACCAAGACAATATTTGGTTTTTCCAAGATCTTTCATTTCAAATTCTTTCTTTAAAAGTTCAATCACTTCAAGGATTTCTTTATTCGTTCCAATGATGTTTAGATCATCAACATAGACTGCTATGATCACATATCCAGATGTTGTTTTCTTAATAAATACACATGGACAAATAGTGTTATTTTTATAACCTTTACTTGTCAAATAATCGCTTAAACGATTGTACCACATGCGCCCAGATTGCTTTAACCCATACAAAGATCTTTGTAATTTTATAGAATACATTTCTTTAGGTTTTGCACTTAATGCTTCAGGCATTTTAAATCCTTCAGGGATTTTCATATAGATATCACTATCAAGTGATCCATACAAGTAAGCTGTAACAACATCCATAAGACAAATCTCTAAATTTTTAGATACTGCCAAGCTGATTAAATATCTGAACGTGGTTGCATCCATTACCGGTGAATAAGTTTCTTCATAATCAATTCCAGGTCTTTGAGAGAAACCTTGAGCAACAAGCCTGGCCTTGTATCTTACAATTTCGTCTTTCTCATTTCTTTTTCGTACGAAGATCCATCTATATCCTAATGGTTTCACAACTTCAGGTGTGAGGATAATGTTCCCAAAAACCTTTCTCTTGTTAAGAGAATTTAATTCAACTTGCATAGCTTCCTTCCATTTAGCCCAATCATTTCTTCTTTGACATTCAATGACAGATTGTGGTTCGGGATCATCATTCATAATATCACATGCAACTGAATAAGAAAATATTGCACCTATATTGTCAGTTTCATTTTGGTCACATATTCTATTTGTCTGACCATAATTTAATGCATCATCCTCCTTTCCTAGGGGAATTTGAATAATTCGTGTTTCTCCAGGAACACTTTCATCATGATCTAGTGCATTTTTTGCTCCTCTTCTTTTTCGTGGGTTCTTATCCTTATAACCAAATGGCCTTCCACGCTTCAGGCGTGTTTTAGACTCTTGAGTGACTTTATCATCAGATTGTCCATGTGGAATGTCAATTCGAGCTGGAACATTGACAGCTGATATATATGATTTAGTCACCCTTTTTGTGTCAGTAAATGCATCAGGTAATTGATTTGCCATTTCTTGGAAATGCATTATCTTTTGAGCTTCCATGTCACATTGCTTTGTGCGAGGGTCAATATATGATAAAGTAGGCTCATGCCATAACACATCCTTTTCCAGAGTCTTCTTTTCTCCACCTAATGATGGGAAATTTGCCTCATCAAATTGACAATCTGCTAGGCGTGCTGTGAAAACATCACCTATTAATGGTTCAAGATATCTTATAATAGAGACTGACTCATAACCAACATATATTCCCAACCTTCTTTGAGGACCCATTTTTGTCCGTTGAGGTGGTGCAATAGGGACATATACTGCACACCCAAAAATTCTCAAATGGGATATATTTGGCTCTTGACCGAAAGCAAGTTGTAGTGGAGAATATACATGATATGAACTTGGTCTCATGCGTATCAATGATCCAGCATGTAAGATTGCATGGCCCCAAACAGAAACAGGAAGTTTGGTCCTCATTATTAATGGTCTAGCTATTAGTTGGAGACGTTTAATCAGTGATTCAGCTAAACCATTTTGTGTGTGTACATGAGCAACTGGATGCTCAACAACAATTCCTACAGACATACAATAGTCATTAAATGCTTGTGAAGTAAATTCACCAGCATTATCAAGTCTCACTCTTTTGATATTATAATCAGGGAAATGTGCCCTTAACTTAATAATTTGGGCAAGAAACTTTGCAAATGCCATATTACGAGTTGATAATAGGCAAACATGAGACCATTTGCTGGATGCATCTATTAAGACCATAAAGTATCTAAATGGTCCAGATGGTGGGTGAATCGGTCCACATATATCACCTTGAATTCTTTCTAGAAATCTAGGTGACTCCCTTTCAACTTTCATTGGAGAATGTTTTATAATTAACTTTCCAAGGGAACAAGATGTACATGGTTTTATGCTATTGGATTGAGGGAACTTTTGGTCCTTCAATGGATGCCCGTGTGTATTCTCAATTATCCTTCGCATCATTGTTAATCCTGGGTGGCCCAACCTATCATGCCATAAACTGAATGTCCCGGGATCACAATGTTTTCCTTCTACTACCATATTTGATTCAATCATATGTATATATGTATAACGCAGACCAGAATCAAGTGTTGGTAGTTTTTCAAGCACATGGTTTTTGTCTATAATATACATATATTTCTTATTTTCAATGGTCACAGTTTTTGTGTCATAACCTTTGAAATATATGTCATTGAAACTTAATATGTTTATATTAGACTTTGGAGAAAATAAGGCATTTTCTATACAAAAGCTTGTACCACCTTGGTAATATAAAATGGGCTTTCCCGGTTCCCTCTATCAAGTCTGCAGGACCTGATATTGTATGTATGACTGTTTTTGTTGGTACTAATTCTGAAAAATATTTCTTTGATTTCATAATAGTATGTGTACTACCACTATCTGCTATACAAAGATCTCCAATCTTTTCTTGGTGTTGTGCTCTAGTTGGACTCATATTAAACTTCACATATAAAAGGAATAATAAGTGAATAAACATAATCATAATTATTATTAAAAAGAAAGCTCATTTATTGTAGGAAAGACATTACATGAAAAACAAATGAAGGAAAAACAGTTTTACTAGAACAATAATAGATTTTTTTTTTTAGTTTATGTCTTCCATGTCATTACAGAAATCAAACAACATTTAGCGGAGTGAATTCAACATTATCAATGAGGTTTTCTTCTTTTCCTTTTCCTTTAATGGACTCTTGATAAAGTTGACAAAGATGTGCAGGTGTGCGACAGGTCCTTGATTAATGGCCTGTGCTACCACATCTATAACATGAACCATCAGATTTTTGTGATGTCCCAGTGTCATGCCTTGCCACTTTGGCCTTATCTTGTGTGTGGACATTGTTTCTTTGTGAATATTGGTAATTATTTCTTTTCTGGCTACGACCACGATTATTACCTTGTCCACGACCAGAATTATGGTTCTGATTATGGCTTTGGTTTCGATTAAAATAGCCA